GTATGTAAATGTACTACTCAACCGTTAGAAAAGTACATTTTATAGTGTATGAATGTGTGCATTATGAATCGAGCAGTATGATTTGTCAAGATCATGTGACCTATCCGCGTCTGTACGCATGCTCTTGGCAGAAGTCAAATATCAGAATAATATAAGTCAAAGTCAAAGTCAGCTTTATTATCAATTCAGCCACATGTACAAGACATATAGAGAATCGAAATTGCGTTATTCTCAGACCCAAGGTGCTTAACATTAATATAAAAAAATATGAAAAATAGTAGAGTTTTAAGAAAGAGAAATTTACAGTATATACATTGTACCTAAAATGTGTTCTAAAAAGTAGAAAAGTAATATGTATAAATCATAATATAATTAGTAAATATTAGCCTTGACAAAGCAGGGTCACGTGACTTCACACACGGTAGGGAAAGTAATTGAAAAAATTGACCTGAAAAAAAATTGATCGATTATAGGTTCTGAATGTCGATTACGATTTATTTCTTTTTTAATTATTATTTCTTTGGGGTTTTCACCTTTATTTTGGATAGGAAAGTAGAGAGAATTTACAGGAAAGCATTGGGAGCAGAAAGAGGGAAATAGATCAGCAAAGGACTTCGAGGCGGATTCAAACTCGGGTCGCCGTGAACACCGAAGAGCATGTGTCGACGCACTAATCACTACACCACTGGTGCCGACTCGATTACGATTTCTTTTCGTTTTATCGCCCAGCTCAGGATCAAAACACGGCAATGCAAGACAAAGGAAACGCATTGTAATGTCACTAAACAGTAAACAAGACTGTGTGTTTGTGTGCTGTCCATGTAATCAGTTCATGAGTAGCTTTAGCTGTGTCTGTCTGCAATCATGGGGATCTAGGCCAGGTGTGTGAGTGGTGCATGACTGGTTCTTGTGGTCCATTAACCAGCAGATTTGTAGTCCTATGTGATCTGTGTGTCTGCACAGTCTGGATCGCTGGTGATCGTGACAATAGTGAGTAATTGTCATTTTGGGGTCAAATATCTGTTTTAAAAATCAATATTGATATAGGGTATATGCTGAGCTAGTGTTCTTCCCATACTGATAAACCTCCGTTTACCTGTTATTTTGAACTTTTTTCCATTTTATACGTTTTTTTTTACAGCATCGATGTTGTAATGTCATTAAAATACATTCAGTTAAATAAACTTTGGCATTCATTTAGTTGCTCAAGCGTAAAACGAGACAAAAAGCTGTTTACTCGCACGTGCCCATCAGAATCGGCAGGCTAGTGCAGAAGCTCCATTGAATATACTGGGGTAAAATACATGCTCATATTATAAAGACATGGCGGATGAAAATGTAATTTAATGCAGTGCTTCTTGTACAACCTGAGACCCACTTTATATCGGATATCACGCCCGTGGAGATCGCTGATTTTTAAAGAAAACAAACCTTAAACGCGCCGGTTTTTGCATTGAATACAGTTCGCCGGAAGCGCTTAACCCAGGTTACTGGCAAACTAAAAGTCCTATTAGCATGCTTCGACATATACCCTATTGCGTACTTTTCCAGCACCACTGCATCTGCTGTGTAAAACTTATGCTGATAGATGTAAATAAAACCAAAGACATTATAACAGATTACAGGAAGGCTTCTCCTACCCCCAGCATAACAAATATTAAAGGCTTGGACATTGAAATTGAAATATCTAGGGGGCGTTATTGATAATATGTTGACATTTCAACCTAACACTCTTTAAAAAAGTTCAACAAAAACTGTTTTTTTTTTTCGAAGGAACTTAGATCGTTTCAGGTTTGTACCTTTATGATGACAATATTTTATAAACAATTTATTGAATCTGTTTTATCTTTCAGCATTGTAGCTTGTTACGGTAATCTGAGTGAAATAAGAACAGGTTGAGTAGCCTGGTGAAGGTGGCAGGCAAGATCATCAGTTTAACCAAACTGGTCCAATGGTGATTTACCATAATTATGTTTTAAAGAGAGCTCAGGGTATCCTATGCACCCCGGATCACCCGTTGTACTATGTGTTTCAGCTGCTGCCATCAGGACGTCGTTTTAGGACAAATAGAACTAGAAATTATTTTATAATGGCGGCCATTAGGTTATTAAATGTGTCCAGCGGGGAGGGAGACGCACCTACAAAATTATATATTGTATATTGTATGGTAATATTTTGTTCATGTGGACATGGAACATCGCCTGTGTTACGGCATCTTGCTGCAAATTTAGTTTCCCTAAATGGGATTACAAAGTCTGAGTCTGAATAGTTGGTGGTTCATTCCACTGTGGTGACCCCTGATAAATAAGGGACTGAAGCAAAATGGATGATAACGCATGCTATATTCAGCACAAATGGAAAGCTGTTATGTTAGGACTCACCACATTACCTAATGCCCTCACGTCTTTCTTCAGCGGAGTTATACTTCAAACACACCTGTTGAGGTCCTACCTGCACAACACACACTCACAGACACTTCATAATTTATGAGTGGTGGGTATGATCTGCAGGTTTTGTGTTTGCACGGTAGAGAAGAGAATGGCAGGCAATTAGACATCGGACAGATTACGGTTGTGTTTTACAACCTACCCCTTTCGCCTAAAGGCATGGCTCCTTTCCGCACGCTGAAACCGGAGCTCTAGAAGTCAAATGGATGTAGTCTTATCTCCTCCCTCTTTCCTTCAAACTTTTTTTTCCACCTGTATCCCCTCCCACCGCTTTACCTGTCTCACCCTTGCTTCTCTTTCTGCTTTCTTTCCCCACTCAGTCTCAGTACAGCCTACTGAGCAGCAGTATGGACCAAGGTTTGGGGAACAGAGCAGCGTCTACCAGTCCCTACAGCTCAGAGACCACCTCCAACGTGCCAACGCCGTCGCCGTACTCGCAGCCAAACTCAACCTTCGAGGCCATGTCTCCAGCCCCGGCCATCCCTTCCAATACAGACTACCCCGGGCCGCACAACTTCGAGGTCACTTTCCAGCAGTCCAGCACCGCCAAGTCAGCCACCTGGACGGTGAGTAGAGCTTCTCGCTTGGGGTGCAACCATATCACGTGAGGTTCCTCATGCACACACACATGCTTTTCACACACTAACTGACTTTTTTTTAAGGTAAGTAGTTGCAAACTATTTAAATAGGCTGAATTTAAACAAATTACGTTGAGCATTACTAAATTGAATTAGTGTTTTTAAATTCAGCCCATATACATAATTTGAAACCACTTGCCTTAATTAAGTAAATCCAATAAATCTTTTTTTACAGTGTGCTTAAAGGGACAGTTCACTCAAAAATTTAATTAACTTATTATATTAAAAACAAAAGCTACGCCATTTTTAACAGAATGGAGTCCAGTGGAGCACCTGTTTTTGCCTTGATTTGCTTTGTCTGTTTTATGCATCGTCTTCTGTCCGTCGAGTGACAGTATTTCCATTTTTAAAAATCAGATTTATATACAAATGAATTTCATTGAAACATTTAATTTCAGTTTGCTTTTTTATAGCTGATATTATTTTAGCAATAAAACAAACAAACAAAAAAGAAGGTTATGTTAAATTAGAAATGACAATCTCTGTTAAAGGCACTTGCGCCAAACCTCACCATCATTTTGTTCTCTGATGCGATGGTGGGCCAAATCAAAGATGACCATGGGCCAGCTTTGACTCATGAATCTTTACTCTTAGGTGATGTTAAATTCTTTTTTAATGCCTAATAATGTGTTTAAAATAACTGTTTAAGTTAAGTTTTTGCAGCTTAAGTCAATATATCGCAATAATACATTGGAAAAATGCTTTTCTTACTTAGATTTGTTATCTTCTTTCTAGTCCAAATATCTGAAAATTCTTAAATCAAGAAGCATTTTCCAGACAAGCAAAATATAGTGTCTTGTTTTAAGAAATATTACGCCAAAATTAAGTGAGTTTTTCCTTAAAGCAAGCAAAAACATCTGCCAGTGGGGTAAGCAAATTAATCTTGTTTTTCCTTTCGACATACAATTATTTCGCTTACCCCATTGGCAGATGATTTTGCTTGTTTAAAGGAAAAACTTACTTGATTTTGGCATATTTTTTCTTTAAACAAGAATATATGTTTTGCTTGTCTGGAAAATGCTTCTTGATATTTTTTTAAATACTTGGACAGATAAAAAATCTAAGTAAGAACAGCCTTTTTTGCAGTGTAACGTTTATTGTAACGAAAGCTTCAGCAATGAATTGTAACAAGAAAATCTGATACCATCATAAGTCTACATGCATTTCATCCAAAAGGAAATCACTGTAAAGGTTATTGCACACTGCCTCCAAAACGTTTAACTTTTTTTTACTTGTTATTTTATTGCATCTGAAAAGGCGTTTTTGAGAGGTGTTTTGACAATTCAGGGCTGCTGTATAAACGAAAGGCAAAATCCAAAATGTCATGGGAGAAACCAATCCACTTGGTCTCGCAACACAAAGCCCTTTTTGATAATCAGTGTTGGGTAAGTTACTTTAAAAAGTAATAGATTACAAATTACAACTGGAAAATTGTAATCTGATTACACAACTAATTTCTTCATGTAAAAAGTAATCAGATTACTAATTACTTTACTTTGAAGTAACTTTTAAAACATATAAAATATACCTATAAAAATACAAAATAAACTGCAGCTCTTTCAGTAATTTAACATTCATTGAAAAACATTACAATGGGTTGATCACAGCAGCTTGACATATTCAAAAGACTTAAAGAGATCGCCCAAAACTTAAAATTCTCTCATCATTCATAAGTTCCAAAAGTGTTTGTCTTTTTTTTTTTAGCACAAAAGACAAGAAAAGAGAATACCTGTAACCTCTGGCATCCATAGTATCAAAAAGCACAGCAGAGTTTGGCTGTAATTTGCCTACCGAAATGTGTATATTCTTTACAAGGTACAGATTATACAAGCTATAAGGTTCTTGTCATTTGACTCGCGGTTTTCAACTGAGGATGCCTGGAAAATGCGAGCGTGCACAATAGGGGTGTCACGATAGGGGTGTTTATGCTCAATTTAGATTATCAAATCAAAAATTTGAATCGTCGATGCTGCCACGCCCCCATATCACGTCAGCTTGGCTTGCCAAAACAGGCAGGCTTGTTGAAGTGCTTGTTAAACTGCAGAAGCAGGAGACCCGTCGACCTCTCCTCTTTCAATGAAGTCGCCGGTGTGTAAATATTTTGGATTTCCAGTGAGTTTTGTTGGCAACGTTCGTGTTGTCGACAAAAAAAAAAACACAATTTTGCAAGCTCTGCTATGTAGGTATTACGTTCGGTTCGTCCGATAGACAACACCGGCATCGCGATCCTTCGCCCGCCCCCGTTGCAAATCCGCTCGCGAAAAGTACACACTCAGGCCCTGTTTACACTGTCTTTGTTTTTAAATGGCATTTTAGAACGACAACGATTTGACATCCACAGTGGCGTGTAGCATTTCTGAGCAGCCCTCCTTCCTCTCTACCTCTGAAAATGCACATCACGTGACCACACAGACACAGACGCACACACAGCCATGCGCTCGAGACAGCAGGTCCAGGCAGAGGATCAGTAGACTGCTTCAATCTTTCACTCACTTGTACTTAGTCATTTTAGCGAACACCTCAGATACTGTTGGCTGGTTCCTGTTGGTTGTGCGTCTTTTTTACCGACGCCATTATAACGACACAGATCACTGCCTATTCACGAGTTCCGCAGAAAAAAGGGATTGACAGTTGGTAATTATGTGTGTATCTTGCCTTTATTCATTTACTGTATGATTTGTTTATGGGTAAAACAAAGACCATGCAGGTCAGGTAGTTTAAACGGTAGGCTACAAATAATTAATTGGTCATTAATTAATTCATTATTCATAATCGAAAATCGAATCGTGCCTTTAGAATCGAAAATGTAATCGAATCGAGGATTTGGAGGATCGTGACACCCTTAGTGCACAATATGTGCTTTCAATTAGGGTTGCGCGATGTTGACCAATGTGGCATCGTACGATGTCTAATGTGAAACATCGCGATGGACGATGGCATTGTTGTCATAAGCTTCAGTGAATTAATTTTTCATGAATAATTAATGACAAATTAGTTATTTGTAGCCTACCGTTTCCACCACCTGACCCGCATGGTCTTTGTTTTACCCATAAACAAATCATAAATAAATAAAGACAAGTTACACACAAATTACCACCTGTCAATCACTTTTTCTGCAGGACTCTGGCATGAATAGGCAGAGTGATCTATGTTGTTATAATGGCATCGACAAACTTGGTTGGTAATAAAGGCGCACAACCAACCAACAGTATCTGAGGTTTTTCGATAAAATTACTAAGTACAAGAGCGAAAGCAAAAGATTGAAGCAGTGTACTGATGCTGTGAAACGTTACCTGATGGATTCAAAAGACCGAACAGTCGTTAGATAGAGACAAGATCAATTAAATATTATGTTTAACAACTATTATAGTCCATACTTACTGACATATAGTGACGCTGGATCGCGTCACGTCCTTGATAAACTGTCTGACGCGCACTGCTCAAAGCATCCACTGAGCTGGAGCTCAGACGAGCACATGACAGTATGTGTGTGTGTTGTTGTGTGTGTGTGTGTGTGTGGTCACGTGATGTGCATTTTCAGCAAGGGGTACTCGTATAGTGTGAAATGCTAGATGAAACTCCAGTGTGGATGTGGATGGTTTTCCGTTCTAAAATGTAATTTTAAAACTAAGACGCATTAGTGCAAACGGGTGTATTTTTTGCGAGCTTCGGTTCGCGAAAAGAGGGCGGGCGGAGGATTGCAATGCTAGCTCAGCATCGTGATGTCTATTGGCCATCGGCGATGGACGATAGCATCGTCTAACGACGCAACCCTACTTCCAATATGCGAGCGCAAGCCGCGTGCCCCCATCAGAAATAATGAATTTGAGCGCGCAAAAGACGCAATATGTGAACATAAGCTGCTACGCTTGTCTTCACATTCAGAAGATATCTCCGCTCCCGATCCTGCACAAAAATCCAGTTTAGGCTGTTTAGGCTGAGTTGGGCCACCTTGTTTTTTGGTGCCGCTGCACTCCTTGACGACAAGTTATCATAGAATGCTTTCTGTTCAAGTGCTTGAAGAAGTCGATGGTCGAGTTAAAAGCAGTCGAAAGTTCGTTAGAGACTGGACATAGACTGCATTTCACAGCAATATTTTTGTTTTCACGCTCAATGAAATCAAAGTAATGTCTGTATTTTTACTTGAAGATGCAACCACTTTCGACAACAACCATTGCAGCTTGTTAACTTATTGCTTATTAACTTACGCTGCAGCGGAAAACGTGTCTTCTAAAAACTATATTTGTAATATAAGTAACGTAATTCCATTGACTTTAGTAACTGTCATCAAATTACACAAATTTAAAATGTAATTCGTTACAATACTGCATTTCCCAGAAATGCAATTAGGATAAAGTAATACGTTACTGAGGAATGTATTGCACCCAACTCTGATGATAATCAAAGTATGGACTATAATGACGTGGTTTAAGAAGAACAATTTTTGACAATTGTTTAACAATAAATTAACACGCGTCAGACTTAGTGTGCATATCGAATTCTTCGAATTTAACTAGGAGAAAAACACATAAGAAAATTTCAGTGTACAAAGACCATAACGTCAGATTCATGAAACCAGAGCAGTCAGTGTTGTCCCTAAAGTCCAGTGTTGTGGTGAGGAAAGGTGCTACATCAGTCTGTCACGAAGATGACCCTCTGAAACAGGAGATGGGGCTCTTTCCTCTTAGGCTGTTTGCAGGATGAAGTCAAGCGTGAGGTTTGGCCTTTGACTTGATGTGGACGTGTAAGACGATAGCGCTCTCAGGAAGGCAAGCGCTGTGGCCATCACTCAGTGTCCGCCTGTGAAGACTCTCACCTCTCGCCACGTTCCGCTTCATTCTCAAAGACTAGGCCTCTGCCAGCAACAATAACAACAGCAGGATAAGCTCAGAAATGGCCAAAGGTGGAGTTTTCAGAGAAGATTGCTG